ACGTAATTCGGGAGATCTGGCAAGACTATTGTATCGCTTTTTAGGCATGTTTCAAGGAGATTGAATTGAAAGGTTAAGTGTGTCTTAAAATTTTGGAAAATGAAAGGAAATATTATAGGTTGACAGTGACGTCAAACTCATTTCATTTTCCGAATTTTAGTGACACTTAACCTTTCAATTCAATCTCTTAAAAACAGGCCGAAAAAGCGATACATTAGTCTTCCCAGATCTCCCGAATTACGTCTTTTCTATCGGCGCCGCCGGAGTACGGTAGTTCTACCGACGAGGGGGCAAAAACTCGGGATTTTCGTGTGCACATGATTCGGAAAACGCAATGATTGCGCATGGTTTTAATTGATTCCATGGCTGATTCTGCCTTCTTTCGCGACGCACCAGGGTGACGTCGCGCGTGATTGTGTGTGACTGTGTTCGGAAAGAAATGGTTTCGGACTGATTTTGCCTGGTTTCGTGTGATTCTGCCTGATTTCGGTCGATTTTAGTGATTTTGGTTGATTTCGGATTGCTTGATTTCGCGTGATTCTCAATGATTCGCGTGTGATTTCGGGGGCCGTGTACACTTGATTGCGCGAGTTTTTGCCCCCTCGTCTACCGACGTCCGGGAGATACGATAGTTCTATCAGTCCCTAATCAGTCTGGTGGAGATACGTGAGTTCATGTAGGACACGTCGACTCATTGGCGGTATTGGCGGTCGAGCCCGGCCGAGCCCCCCAGCGGCGCTGGCCGCGCTGGCCGTGCGTCCATTCATTCGTGCATTCATTCAGCTGCAGTGTTTACCAGCAGGCCTGTCCTCAAACGCGGGCTATTTATAGCGAGGCGTAGCGAGGCGTATAGCAAAGCCACACGCCAGCTGCCCCGCTGTGGCAGTGTGGCCGCTTGGTCGCGCGGAGCCATCCGAGGCTCGCCAGACAGCCATGCCACGCACAGCACGCCGTCATAGACCTCGATCAACGCTTTCGGCAATCCGCGAATCAAGAAGAACAAGAGGCTCAGGAAACGCTGAACACATTCTCAATAGTTTATGGACACTAGAGAAGTTGGTCAATGTATCGAAAATGGTGCCGTCCATTGCTGCAGTGCGGTCCTAATGGTCCTACTTGTGCTTGTGCAGAGCCTGCCGGCGGCGGGGCTTCGAATCCAAGCGACAGCCGCGACGAACACACCAACACACAAACAGAACACGCGACCCAAAAGAGAAAGAGGTTCTTATCATTATTCGGGCGGCATCGCATTATCTCAAGGCCCGGCGCGCGCCATTACACGGCTAGCTGCCCCGACTGTACTTCCCTAGTGCTGCCGGCACACTTTGCCAGAAGACCGGCGCAGGTGAAAAAAAAAAACTGTGAACGCGTTTTGAGCTCCCGGGTCAGGACTTGAACCGAGCCTGTGACCCCACCGAAGGACTCCTCGTTCGGAGAGCAATCCATTGGTGGGGTCACACGTTCGGTTTGAGTCCTCTCTATCGACTCTGGAGCTCAAAACGCGTCTTGAATTTTTTCCGCCTACCGGTCTTCTCCCACTCCGTTGCCCGAGGCAGAGCGCTGCAGAGCACTGCAGCTTTCTAGTGCTGCCGATGCCCGCAGCTTCGCAAACGACCGTATAAGCCTAAATTTCTCATAATTTTGTGCACATTTTGGTTGTTTTGTGCTGTTTTCAGCGAAATCTCTGTCATTCCGTGGCGTGATGGTGGGGTCTCTGCTGTTGACAGTGCATACCCCGGCATACCCCCTCGTGCATGTTTGCACGGGCAGGCGGGCGGGCGGGCCGCTCAAGCCACGGCCGCCATGGCGCCAATGGCCTGCCGTGCGAAAGGAAAGGTAATGGGCGAGGCGGCGAGGCGGGGCGTCGGTGAAAGGCCTCGCCGACTGCGCCGCGCTCGCCGCGTCGGCCGGCTGGAGGACAGAGGATCAAGGAATCGTCCGCAGAGGGGGGCGAGTTGGAGAGTAATGACGAGGTAACCCGCCCACCTTCCGAACCAAGTAGTGGCGGCCAAGTAGCTTCACACTAAATGTTATCAATGTACAATTTTGCACGAGACATCACAGCTTTTTGTGCACACGGCATTTTCGCACAATTTCCGTACGAAAAACTGCACATTTTTCGCCATTTTTGTACAAAATTGTACAAAATTTTGTACAAATTTGTGCGAAAAGTTCGCTAAAAACTGTGATGTCTCGTACGAAATTTGTACAAAACCATTAAGTGTGCTTAATGATTACACGAGTTCTTATGGGACAAGTACGGACGTTCCGTACTTTTTTCCGCACTTCCGTACTATATTCGTCTGCACATTTTCCGTTCAAAAGTACGGAATTTTTTACAGTGATTCAGGTGCGGATGGCGGAATAATACAATACCGTAACGAAAAACAGCTTAGCATAACCGCCTCCCGCGGTTCGCGCCTGGCGGGCCCTCTTTTATTGTGTTTGCCGAGAGCAAGCCCACCGAGCGGCACCCGCCTAGCAATCTCCTAATCACTCACCGAGAAGCAACGTTTTAATTTGCACCCGCGAAAAAGCAACAACAGAAAAACAACAAAAAAAAGCGCCTGGTTGACTTGAGCATTCGGTACTTCCGCCGCCCGCCGCACAGTGGGCCAGACCGGTGGAGGCGGACAAAATTCAAGACGCGTTTTTAGCTCCAGCGTCGCGAAATAGGACTCGAACCGAGCGTGTGACCCCACCAATGGATTGCATTCCGAACGAGGAATCCATTGGTGGGGTCACACGGTCGGTTCGAGTCCTGTTTAGCGACCCTGGAGCTCAAAACGCGTCTTGAATTTCGACCGCCTCCACCGGTCTTCTGGCCCAACAGTGCGCGGCTTTTGCATGCAGTTGGTCTGTTTTCGTGGTCGCCGATTGCGACCCGGAAGGCGCGGCGGCGCGGCCAGTTCGGCGTGCTTCTGCTTATCTAGCCGAGGATGCCGTCGGTCTGCCAGGCCGCCACCTGTCTGGCTGGTTATCCTGGTTATCGGCCACGGCTCGCCGTCGCGCCGCCACGTGGACGCTGGTCGTGAACTTGATTCCAATCGCGCGCCTTCTTTCTCTCCTCCTACTATACGTTAAACTCAAGTGGCGGCTTTTGTTGCTGTTGTTTCGATTTTTTTTTCCCCTAGTGTTTTCATGTGGCAAGGTCGCGGCGCGTCTGGTCAGGTTCCCCTCCAGCAAATAAAGTACGCGCTTCCTCAAATAGCAGTGACCTTTCCACCAATTAAACTGCAGAGTCGTTTTTTCGTCGGTCTGTCTCTCTCGCACTCATGGGGGCGTCCTGTAGAGGCGAGAGAGCCGGAGCGACGAAAACAACTCTCGGAATCAGTCAACTGGCGGTGGCATTTGGCCGCGACTTTTGCTCAGTTTTCCTCGACAATTTCTGTATCTTTTTCAGTTTGTTTCTCGTTTGTTTTTCTTACAGTGGGCGCGTCTGCCCCGTTACTACCCAGTTTTTCTTCTGCTTCTTTTTTTAGAGTGTGCTGCCTCGAGCCGTAACCCACCGTCAATGAGACGAACGGCACGGAAGTGACGCCTCGACGCCTCGGACCGGCCGTTCCGAGTTTTTAACCGGCAGCTATTTCGGGTGTAGTGGGCCCGGGCCGGACGGCCGGACACAGAAACGCGGTGCGCGGTGCGCCTCTGCTGACGGCCGTCCGAGTCACGGGAGGCGACACCACGTTCCCGGTGCGGTCAGCAACGCACAGTGGGCCAGAAGACCGGTGGAGGCGGCCAAAACTCTAGACGCGTTTCGAGCTCCAGAGTCGCTAAATGGGACTCGAACCGAGAGTGTGACCCCACCAATGGATTCCTCGTTCGGAGAGCAATCCATTGGTGGGGTCACACGTTCGGTTCGAGCCCCATTTAGCGACTCTGGAGCTCAAAACGCGTCTAGCAGACTTTGGTCGCCTCCACACGTCTCCTACCCCACTGCCTATCTTTCCGGACAGTCCACATATTCTTCCCCCGCCGCCTCCCGGGTCCGCGCCTGGCGGCAGAGACGGCGAGGTGTGCCGGCGCGAGTTTGCCGCGCCTACGTCGGTCTTGCCGCTGTTGGGACTTGGTGACTTTGAGACGCACAATGGTCTGACTGCCTTCAGACTGATTCCAAGCGGGAGATCTCTCTCTGTCTCGCTCGCACTCATGAAGCATCCCGACGGGGTGAGTGCGAGGTACGATGGGTGCGAGAGAGCCGGACAACGGGTGCACTGGTAGCCAGGCGTCGCCAGGACACAAAGGGATCCTCAGGAGGGCGACGGCCTTCGCGCTGCACAAGGCGCCCGCCGCCCAGTCCTCCACGGGCATAACTCACTGCCAAGCCGTCGGGACACTCGCGCCACCGTGTGCGCGAGGCGTTGGAGCAGCCGGGGTCACGAGAAGTGAACACGAGTGAACAGCAGGCAGAAGAATGCCGGCGGAGGCGGTCAAAATGTCAAAATCCCGGGCGCGTTTTGAGCTCGTCGCCAAGTGAGATTGGTGCTGATCGGGTGACCCCGCGGAAAAGCCAGGAAGATGCTCTGTCCGCGGCAGGGGCGTGGTCGGTGTTGGTCAGCAGTGTTGTTGACAGCGTCAGAGACGTTCGCAAGGAGCTTCGAAAGACCACCCGCAGCACTGAGACCAGAGCCACAAACAGTGCTGCCAGGGAAATTCCCTCGGCCGGCGCACTGGTGTTCAAAGGGTTGCCTTTCCTGTCGGCCTGCTCACGAGGCACCTCCCCAAGAGCAAAACCCTGGTGGTCAAAGGCTGAGGTTGGCAACCCTGTCCACTCCGGTGCATCGTGAGAATTTCTGCCCACTTATGTGGCAACACTGGCTCAAAGTTCCGGCGCCGCGCCGCGACGCGCCGGACTGCAGTCCGGCCGGCCAGCGACCCCAGCCGGTGCCCGCTACACTGCCCGCCCCGGGCAACACCTGCCCTGCACTCCGCACTGTACTTCTTGCAGCGACTCCGAGCTCTCCTTGAGTGCGAGGGGCACGGGGCTGCACTGCACTCACCTGCGTCGTCGTCCTGCAGCCTGCGGACGGTCCTGGCGGACCACGAGGGCTCCCGCTCACGGTGCTCCCTGTGCGCCGTCATGGTGGCCGTCATGGCGGTGGCGTAGGGCAGCAGCACCACGGCGGACATGGCCGGCAGCAGCGCCACCGGGTCCAGGCCGGCGATCGCAAGCGCCATGATGCACTTCCTTTCCCTCTCTCTCTTACGTAAACACACTGACACGCACTCGCACCCTCACACACACACACGGGAATCACAAGCCGATGTTGGACCTCACGCTGCCCAACATCGCCGCGCTACAAACGGGGAGCTGCGACCTCGCGCAACGGTCGCGGCGGACTTGGCTCTGAGCTTGTGCCGGCGTGGCGCGGGGGCCTTATATGAGCTCGCCCGGTCCCGCCCCGCCCCACCGCACCGCGCCCCGGCCGCGAGGAGGGGGCTGCCGGCAGGCCGCGCCGCGCGCCGCGCCTCCCGTGGCCGCCACGCCCGCCACGCCCGGCCGCGGCAGGGCAAGCCGGGCAGCAGTACCACGCCCCCGCCACTGGGCAGGTGGCCGCGGCGCCGCGAGGGTCGAGGACCGCGGCGTCGTCCGCGGCGTCGGAGTCGTCGGCGTCCACGACGTCGTCGGCGTCCACGACGTCGTCGGCGTTCACGACGTCGTCGGCGTCCACGACGTCGTCGGCGTCCGCTTTAAAACTTTTGCACGAAGCGGCTGGATACCGGATGGTATCTTCATCTTCAATCCTGAAGGAAATGTAGATAACTAAGCTCCGAAGAAAACTTCCCGATTCGATTTACTACTCAGATCCCAGGTGATGTTCTTTTCACAGTCAAAATAAATCAATGCGAATGGCAAGGAATGAATCATTTGAACCCGCGACCTGTCCCACCGTCTGATAAGAAAGGAAGACCGTCGCCGTACCCGTCAGATGTCACATCACCAAGACGCTCGTTTTGTTGATCTGGATTTTGATCAATTCTGTGTTAAATTTTATAAACTACACTAAGTCAAAATGGAAGACTATGTGAATCGATTTTTTAAAGAAATCATACACCGAAAACCAACAAAATATTTGAGACAAACACCATTAGAAAGCCATGAAAGAGAAATGAAAAGAAATTCTGTAAACAGAGAAAATAATACATTTTTGTGAAACAAACAATAGAAATTCGCCCAAAAGAAAATCAACTCACATAGGTTAGCACCGTTACTCGGAGGCCAGCGTTGCATCAGCGAGCGAAACGCTGATCGAAGGGCCGCGAAGGGGTCGGCCACGCCACGCCACTCACCTCGAGGATACGAAGACTATTAGCACCGTCGCAGAGCATGCCTAGCACCGTCTGGGGATGACGTGGGCCCAGACCACCCAGGCGTGCTCATGGTTCGCACCGGATCAGGAGAGCCGAGCCAAGTGGACGCCAGTCTGCAGACTGACTCCGAGAGTCGTTTCCCTCGCTCTGTCTCTTCTTCGCACCTATACGGGACGCCCTATGAGTGCTAGAGAGACAGAGGGATGGAAACGACTTTCGGAGTCAGCCGTCTGGCGCCCGGCGTCTGGTGCGACGTATCCCAGCAGAACAGGCGTATCTGTGGAGCGACCGCAAGAAAAGGCGGATCTGTTGGAGGCCCAAGAAGAAGGGCGGATCTGTTTTTGATACCACAAAAAAGGGCGGATCCAACTTTTTGGTCGGTTTTTTGAGTACTATATCAAAATAATCCTTACTTTCTGAAACGTATTTTAAACAAAAATCTCAAAATCGACCAAAAAGTTGGATCCGCCCTTTTAGCGGTATCAAAAACAGATCCGCCCTTCTTCTTGGGCCTCCCACAGATCCGCCTTTTCTTGCGGTTGCTCCACAGATACGCCTGTTCTGCTGGGATACGTCGGGTGGACGCCTGGCATTCGCACCGCCAGGCGCGTGTACATTGTCAATGATTAACACTTCCAGCGTAGCGACAGTTTTCTCTGTATTTGGCGCTGGTTTGGCTATCTGCACACAACCGTGTTCATTGTGCTGGCTGCACCAGTCGGGTTGGACGACTCTAAGCCGGTGTTGCCACATGTTGGCAAAAAATTTCCACGATGCACCGGTGTGAAAAGGGTTGCTGACCTCGACCTGCCTTCGAGGGGTTTTCACTCGGGGTTGTGCTGTGTACTTGGGTGAGTCGGGTGCAGTACATCTACGCCCCCCCAAGGGAAAAAATCCCTAACGTCCCTTACCAAAGGGATATTTCGCGGCCCCTTGGAAGGAGGGTCCATGGAAGGGCCAGCCCCTATGGATAGGGACAGTCCCTTGTCAAAGGGCCCGAAATATCCCTTGGTAAGGGCCCGTGCCGCGGGATGTTCAAGTGTTCAAACATCTGCCTCTTGAACCAATGTACGGAACGCCTCCTGAGTAAAACTTTTGACGCTGATAACAATTGGTAGTGTCGCCGACACCTCTATCCAAAGCCGTTTACAAGTACCCTTAATAGGTGTGTAGCGGTTTGCCTACCTAAATCACCCCATTTTGCCTAACTGGCAGGCTGATTTATAGGGCCTTGGGTCTGGAGGGCGGGATCCCCGTCCATAGGGCTGATCCCATGTCCAAGGTCCGATCCCTAAGCTCGTAGGGCCGGTTCCCAAGTCCATAGGGCCGGTCCCTAACTTGATGGGCCGCCCATGGCAGATGGGCTGTAGCCCTTCCAAGGGGCAAGCCCTTTCTCGGAAAAGGGCTTGGCCCCTTCGAGGGACCGTTGTGCTTTAAAATCATAGGGATTCGGGTCCCTTGGGCCATTACACAATATTACTCATTTTTGCTCATACAATACGTCATCGCGCCGAACATGTACGCTATTACGCAAGTGGAAACTTCTTCGGAGCGGGCAACATCTGGGATTTTTTCTCACAAAGTTGTCTCCTAGGCAGTCTGAGGTCGGGGCACACTAAATTTACTACCTGTTTTTGTGCAATAGATTTTGCACAGCATGGAGCATACCGGAGCATACGCACACTTTCGAGCTTGTTACGAACAAGTTCGTGCAATTCTAATTCAAATTTTGTGCAAAGCTTAAGCACAAAACCTACATAGTAAATTCAGTGTGAAGCTGCGGGGGGGGGGGGACCTCCTCACACTTTCCCTTGGGCACTGCACTGCAAATCCAAGTGGTGTGCATTGTGCGCATTTTCGCGTGCTGTTGGCAACACTGCTCTGAGCTGAGCATAGGCAAATCAGGTAAACAAAAATGAGATGAGATTGTCAACACGCTGGCTGAGGTTGCGGTCCGGGCTCGCAAGGAAACAGCGTACGCTGTTGTTTTGTTTTGTTGTTGTTGTTGTTGTTTGTTGTTGTTGTTTTCGCGGCGTGGCATTCCTTGACAAGCGATTCTGGATTCGTCGGTCTATCTCACTCGAAGCCCTGGGTCAGCCCACGAGTGCGAGAGAGACCGCGAGAGAGCGTGGTTCGAAATCGCTCGGTAGGACCACTGAGTCGAGACGGTGCACGCGGCCACGGATGCAGACTCAGCTGCAGACCGTTTTCGAGAGTCGTCCTCGTCGATCTAGCTCTCTCGCACTCATGGGGCGTTCCGCCTGGGTGCGAGAGAGACAGTGCGACGGAAAAGACTCTCGAAAACGGCCTGCTGGGCCACCACGGCCCCGGCCCGCCGAAATATATCTAAACGGCTGTGCGCGCCGCGCGCCGCGCGAAGTAAACAACATGGTGCTTTGTCGGCTGTTGTGATCGTCTTTGTGTCGTAGTACGCGCCGGCGAAGCGCCGGCCGGCTTGGCAGGGGCGTGGCGGCGGGGCAGGGTGGGGTGGGTGAAGCCCGGCCCGCGTGGAGCGGCGCGGCGGTGAGCGTTGGCCGTGAAGCGCGCGAAGCCGCGTGGCCGCGGCGGTATTGAGCACCGCGCTGGCCAGCGCCGCTCCGCCGGCAGACTCATTCCGAGTCGTTCTCGTCGCTCCGTCTCTCTCTCACTCATTGGGCGTCCCCTTAACGTGCGAGAGAGGCAGAGCGACGAAAACAACTCTCGGAATCAGGCTGCAGAAGAAACAGCGGATGGCTTTTGGCGCGCTGCTTTTTGCGTTTTCCCGACCGGCTAGGCTGACTGGAGGGCCGTTGTGGTGATTGCGGCGATAGACGTGTCCCTACAATATAGCAGCCACCTGGCTTCGAAGCATCACCCTGCCGACATGGACAAAAGCGCAACAGTGCCGCGGCCGGTCGCGCTACCCCTGCCGCGACCGGCCGCGACACTGTTGCGCTTTTGACCATAACACCCTTGCCGCGACACCGTCGCGCATCCCCATCCGCGACACCGTCGCGCTTCACCTGCCGCGACACCATATCGCGCTTCTCCTGCCGCGACACCGTCGCGCTTCTCCCGCGACAAGGTCGCGCTTCCCCTGCCGCGACACCGTCGCGCTTCACCTGCCGCGACACCATGTCGCGCTTCTCCTGCCGCGACACCGTCGCGCTTCCCCTGCCGCGACACCGTCGCGCTTCACCTGCCGCAGCACTATATCGCGCTTCTCCTGCCGCGACACCGTCGCGCTTCCCCTGCCGCGACACCGTCGCGCTACCCTGCCGCGACACCGTCGCGCTTTACCTGCCGCTACACCATATCACGCTTCTCCTGCCGCGACACCGTCGCGCTTCTCCCGCGACAAGACCCCGCTTCGGAGTACATCGTTTGTACGACCTCTTTTTGTCCGACCTGCCGAAATTCGTCCGACCTCCTTCCCGCTGTAATATTTTTCTACGACCTCTTTTTGTCCGACCTTACCACCGCCTCAGCCCTCAACTCTCGACAAACAACACATGGTACCCACGACGGAGTCATATAAAGTTTGGTTTAAAATAAAACGTAAAAAATTTGAACCCTACGACCCTCTCCCCCCCGCAATGGGGGTTCGAGCCGCCTGCTTAACTTCGGTGTTCGGATGGGAACCGGTGTGTCCAGGCTTTAAACTGCTACCGCATAGTTCAGCTTCTGTAGGACCGCTATTGCCTTCTTACACATGAAGGACCGCCTTATGAGGGCAGCCGGCGATCGTAGGGTGACAGAGATAGAGAGACAGAGAGAGACAGACAGAGAAGAGGTTTGGTGGGAGCTTTTTGTTTTCGTAGGGTTGGTTGTGTACCCCATGGTACCCCCACTGTCCGGCGCTCCCGTACCGAACATACAGCGTTTTAGGCCAGCTTCAAAGGACTTATCATCGCCTCCCCGACGAATCGAGGAGGCACCACCCGCAACCACACACCGGGTGGTCTGGATTGATGGATCGAATACTCCATCGCTCCAGTGCCGAGGCCAACCCGCCGAAGCGGATTGCTTTTTAGACACCCACAGCGGAGTG